ATAATATATATATATATATATATACTATCAGTCGTAGACACATATATGTCGAACAACTCAGTACAAGAGCTGCAGATATACGACGATTTGTAGGGGCTCGAGGCAAACAGAAAGAATTGAAAAGGACTATTTCGAAGAATTGTTACGATCACCGGCATGCCCGGCTGCTCCTTCTTAGCCTAGGCCCTGCAGCATGCTGCACACCCTCAATCGCCGCTTACTTGGTTATAAACCGTGGTAATGCGCTGCCTTCTCTCAATATGTGCCCTGCCACCAAGCAGCCAGTCAACAGAGGTGAGGCAACAAGAGGCAGCGAGGTAGGGAATAGCCCCGTTAACAAATTGAACAGCACCCCATGCATGGCATCGTTCTGCATCACTTGCTGAACGCAGTAGCACACGCAACGGCACACTTCAACACAATCCAGACTAAACTGTTTCCCTGGTAGAAAGAGCAGTGCTGCTCTCCCGTTTCGTGCGTTCAATCTACATGTAATCCGGCATGCAGTAGGGAAAGCGCTGCTCTTAAGACAACAATAACGTTACAGAGAACAGCACATCTAGACAGCCTGCAACTGTATTCTTTCGTCTGCATGCAATTCAACTACGTGGGCTCTCTCTCGATTGTGGGCAGGTATGCACCGTGTATAAATTTAATCTTTACGAAGTCTAATTCAGTAGGATCAACTTAAGTGGAGATGTAAACAAACAATCCAGCAGGCTGCACGTGTATGTACGAAGGGAGCGACGCGCATGGAGGAACAGGCACAGAGGAGAAAAAGTACAAGATCATAACAGAGGGGATCAAAATGGAGTGCTATCTGAAGATGTGTTACGATCTCCATGCACTGCCTGTCCTTTGCAAGCATCTACTGATGTAACTGCTCTCCCTCTCGCATCTACCTAGAGGCTTTTCTGTTGCTATTGCGTGGTGTTTTGCAGTTCGTGTCTTCGCGTTCGGGCTTGGCTTGCACATCCGTCGTGTGCCTGTGTCCTGCAGCGCTAAGGAAATCAGCCCTGCATGTCGTTTGCTGTAGGCAATTCTGCGTGTGTCAACCGTCATAATGCAATGCAGATGGCTTCCTGGTGGAGCCGTCAAAATCGGCTGACTCATTTCTTCTAGACTGTTATTGCATATCAAATGCCATGCTGCTATAGTTGTGAGAATCTGTTGGTGCATTCCTATTCACCTACATATGCAAGTCCGAAATTCTATTAACGCAGTTGTGGAAATCTGTTGGTGTGGTTGTGACAACAATTTGCTAGCGTTGTGGAAATATGTGAGTTGTGTTGGGAAAAGGTGGTGGTGAATGACAATAACCAGATTAGAATACAAGCTAGCGCAGTTGTGTCAAGATGCTGACTCATTGGGGTAACGTGTTAATGCAAGCATACCAACACATTTGCTGACGCAGGCCGAAGCCACAACTGACCTGAAAGTAGGCAAAGCCCTCGTTCGCCAAGGATTCCCCAATACGCGACAACGGCCACAGCCTGACGGGCGGCAGCCCGAAGCAGCAGTACAGCCGCAGCAGCAGACTGCCAGTTAACAGCAACGAAGCACCGGGGCCCTGCAGAGGCAAAAACAGAAAAACATTGGCGCCAACACTAACATACACATACGCACCCAGTAGCAGAGCTCGGACACCCTGTGAGAGGCACCTAGGACTCCGCTCGTTGCTACTGTAACTGCTGCTGTTCTTGATGGACATGATGCTTCAGCTGCTGCCCTTAACGCTCTTGTTGTTTATGCTGCTCTTATGCTTTCTTCTGTTCCTGGTGCTGCTCTTAATGCTCTCGTTGTTGCTGGTGTTGTTGTTGCTGCTCCGTGACTGGGCGACTGACTCTTTGGGCGGTGGCTGCAGCTAAGGCAGTTTTGAACATTCCTGCCAGGAGGCAGCCGAACGTCAGAGGCGACAAAACCCGCAACACTCCAGCAGAAGGAGGAGAGCCGACAGGCCGCCCGAAGGAGGCGCCTCCGCTGCTGTAGCTGCTGTAGCCGCTGTAGCTGCTGCTACTGCTGCTTCGCGGAGCAGAGGCAGCGGTACTGGCACCACTAAGTACCTCATCTACTGTTGTGTTGTTCACGTCGAAAGAAGAATCCTGAGGGTATAAGACAAAGGGGCAAAGATAAACAGAAAAAACATATAGCTTCATATTATGCAGACACAGAGGAGAACAGAAACCACCGACACACTGAAAGAGCAGCAACTCCGCCAGTAGGAGGAGCAGCAATCCCGGCAAGCGCATATGCTGTAAGGGCAGTACGGGGTCTGCGTAGAGATACCTGATGAGTCTTGTAGAATTTCTTCTTCCACTTGAGCAGCTTATTCAGAGGGGGAGTCGGGTAGAGGCTAGCGAGGTACTCCTGCCACTCTTGACTGGCACTCCAGTCGAAACAAACAAACTTTTCTTCTGAAGCAGAGAGACCAGCTGCCCTTGCAGCTTCTCTGAGCTCCTCTAGCTTCTTCGAGGAAGCCATGATGGATATGTGGCGTTTATTAATATGTGTATCTGTATGAGTTTGTCCTGAAGAATCCCCTGCTTCTTTGTTTTTCCGGTGGGAGCAAATGGAGTCAGGGCTGCTTCTTGCAGCAGCCAAAAGCTACATGTAACTGTAGCGAATAGAAGTAAGCAAAGAAAGAAGACAGGTTCCGAGGTGCCGCATACACGCCAGGCTGCTGCCTGCCGCTGGGGGCAGCCGCGGAGAGGCGAATAAAAGATACAGGCCAAATGGACAAAGCCGGAGAGGCCCACAAACTGCAAAGCAAGGGGCGATCCTAGCCTGCAAAAGGAAGCGTGCGAAGATGTCGAGGGAAGGGTTTACTAGAATCTGACCCTTCCCCAGCCCAACCTGATGATGTATCCAAGGTTCTGCTGCAACTGCCAAATCCAACAAGACCTGCGAAGCAACACACGCAGGAAAAGTACTCCGCGCCTCGTGAATTATCGGCCGCAGCGCGCAGTCACCATTTATCATACGCGTTCGATGGAATACACGTGCGAGACAGTAGTTGCCTTGCGCCTTGAGGTGCATGTGCAGGTGTTTCTATATACAATTATCACGTGTGCTTTTAAAAGGGCTTCCGGTGGCTAATTCTAGGAGATCAGAACTGTCTTAACAATGGAAACAGTCGCCTTCAGTCAATAGTGGGGAGCAGCAGCTCCTAGAAGCACTTCATGGCTTCTAAAGCATCGGAAGAAAGAAACACTGTTTAAACGATACTATTTAAGAACTAACAAACAAAATTTCGATTCTCAAGGAAAAATACGCACGCAAAGGGGGACGCAACGTGCCGGACGAGGGCAGACGGGCAGTCGTGGGGTGTCTGTTCAGCGGATGCGCCTTCGCTATCGTTGATTCCCACGGAAACACTTCAAGGAAAACCGCCAAGTTGTAAAGAGGAATCAACTCTATTCATTTCTTGAAAACTAAGCAAGACATTCTCCGCATGCAATGAAGACGCCGCGGTGAGCAGCCCCGAGTTTCGTCCCACGTTGTAACTTGAACAGAAACCGGGGAAAATATTAGGGAATTTTCCATTCTCCTGTTGTTTTTGAGACATAAACAACTTAAAGATGTCTCACCGTCTTCCTTGAAGAACAAAGAACAGGAGTGACCTTTTTCCCTCTTTCAGTGTCTGGTTTGAGACCTCTCATTTTCGCTTTTTCTCCGTTACCTCTTCTTCTGCTCATTTGATCGTTTTCCGATACCTTTACATGAGCGCGTGTCAACATCAACATGATATAAACACTCAAACAACTGCCAATTAGCCATTGGTAGTGGTGCTAGCAGTCCTTTTTATTGTCCCTGCTGCCCCTGCGTGAATACCCCCTACACTGAGGGAAACTGGGGGTTCTCCCCCTTTAACTAGCTCCTTGAAACAGCAGTGTAGACCCAAGAGACGATATAGGAGAAGACGACAACTATTCCGCCTGCAACAGCTACCTCATGCGGTCTGAGTTGGGAAGCAGCCCTTCGCCTCCTCCTCAGGAAAATGGGTCTTGTGCAGGTACTTCTTCTCCACGAGCTCGTTGTGCATCTTCAGCTGTTGGAGTGGATGTGGTGGGGAGTACAGTTGCCGCTGTATCTGCGCATTACCGACGTATGTTCCTAGACGGCCTGAGTACAATAGAGGGCCACAAATTGTTTATATTAGAAGACAGCCTGGCATTTCCTCTTTCTCATCTTACAGATGCATCTTCTCTGCAGCAGCACGGAGTAGAGCGCTGCTTTGCCCTGGCAGCATTTCCTATTTCTCTTTCTTCTGTTCCCCCACAGACAGCCCGAGCCCCCACAGTTGTATTTGTATGCCGCCCTCGCCTTTCTCGCCTTCCTCTTATCCTTCGGCACATCCATTTCGTTGAAGACAATTTTCCTCAGGCGCAGCCTCCTCCTGCAGCAGCAAAGGCAGCGGCTGTAGCATCAGCTGCTGCTGCATCAGGGTCAGCCTCCAGCGCGGACCCCGCCCTACTGTGGCAGTTTCCTCTCCCCCCAATTGCAGCAAAGAGCGGCAGGAGATATGTTGTTGTTTTGATAGCTGAGCCTTCGGAGTTCATTGCAAGTGAGATCCGCCGTCTCCTTTCTGCACCGATAGCCCCAAAAACACATGCAGCGGAGCAGCAGTCTGCAGGTCATTCTTCGTTGCCTGCTGCTGCTGCTGCTCTCATCTCGAACCTAGGAAATTCCCTGCTGCCTCTAGGCTCCAACAATACCACCCAAGACAGTCCCGAATGCAGCAGCAGCAGCAGCGTGAGCGCAGACAGTGTTGTGGTGACGCACTGCCCTATTCAGCTTTTCCCTGTTGAACGCGATGTACTGTCTCTGGAGCTGCCGAACTTTTTTAGGGCTTTTCATGGACAGGGAGATATCTCTTTGTGTAAGACAATTGCCAATGCAATTGACGTCCTGCAGCAGCAGCAGCTACAGTTCCAGCAGGAGCAGCCCCTGCAGCTGCTGCAGCAGCCGAAGGAGACGCAGCAGCGGCTTATTCCCCATCTACGGTGTATCGGGAGTGCCGCGAAGACAGTCAGCGATTTTTTGATTCAGAAGCGAAAGCAGCAGCAGCAGCAACGACAGCGTTTTGAGGATCCTTACGTAGGGGCCTTAATGGAGACGCAGCAAGCGCCACTTCCCCCTGTGCCTCCCGTGTATTCTGTTTTGGATGCAGAGGATTGTGGTTCGTCTCATCCGTTTGCAGGCAGTAGCAGTGCTGCGCTTCGTGCAGAAGAAGGCGAGGCAGCAGGAGAGGGCAGATGGGGAGCAGACTGCGGCAGCAGTAGGCTTGTGCTGCCACATGCTCCGCACATGGCGGTGTTATTCGACAGACGCGTGGACCTTGTGACCCCTCTTTGCACGGACTTCACCTACCAGGGGCTCCTAGACAGCACGTTAGGCATTGAAGGCGCAAGTATAGAGATTCCCAAACACTTGCTCCTCCAGCAGCAGCAGCAGCAGCAGCAGGACCAGCAGGACCAGCAGGACCAGCAGCAGCCGTCGTTGAGCGAAGGCGTCGTGTCTCCGCCCTTGCCCGGCAACCTGGGGGGCAGTGTGCTAATTGAAAGGGGCCGAGGGCAGCGCGTGCCTCTTTCTGGAGACAGTCTCTTTTTGAGTTTGCAGGACTTGCACCAGACGGAAGTGGGGGCTGTGCTGCACCGCATAGCGAGCGAAATAAAGGAGACGTACACCTTAAAAGAGCGCCTTCGAACGATAGAAGACATCAGCTCTTTTATGGTTAAGTTCAAAGTCAAGCAGCAGGAACACGCCTCTCTTAGCCTCCACGTCAAGCTTGCTTCCTTCATTGCTGCTGTCTCACGTGACGCCAACTACCACAGCAGACTCTGCCTAGAAGACCGCCTTCTGCAGGGCACTCTCGGACTGGAGACAGGGCTGCTACGCAGCAGCAGTAGCAGCAGCACAGAACTCTTTGAGAAACTTATAGACGAGTCCGCAGCAACGGAGGCAGCTGCCGCTTCCGGTTGCTTCTCTGCAGCAGCCACCACACTTGATGAGGTGTACAGACTGCTCTGTCTTTACTCGGTGACTGCGGGGGGCATCAAAGGAGCTCAGTTGGAACCCCTGTTGCACGCATTGGTGCAGCAGCATGGAACTCGTGAGCTGCGGCGCGTCGCATGTATGCAGAAGGTGGGGCTTCTGCGCGAGCATAACCCTCTCAAGAAAACTAAAGTCAATGGGGGCGGTAGTGGTGGCCCTGAGGCGTGGAAATTCGTGCGAGAAAAGTGCAGATTAATGGTAGATGAACAGCAAACCATGAAAGACATTGCCTACGTCTGCTCTGGATATGCTCCCCTCTCCGTCAGGTGAACGCCTCACTGCTGTGCGGTATACTCTCCTCTGCTGCGCAGCTGTGTTGGCGGCGCAACGTGTTAGGTACATGGACATGCATTCTTTATATGTATTGGCACATGGGGTGTATTGTGACACCCGGTGTATACAGGCGCCTAAGGTATCAGAGTCCATGCTCCCAAGGAAAAATGCAGCAACCACGGAAATACCAGCAGATCTCTAGCTACACTTGAACTGCACTTAAACACAGACACTGTTGTATATACACCTCAACTGTCTCTCCACCTCCGTGAACAGCATGCCGAGTGTGTTTGCCTGTCTGCATTTTCTGTTCCCATTAAAGTGTAGCTAGAGATCAGGTGGTATTTCGGTGGTTGCTGCATTTTTCCTTGGGGCGTGGGCTCTGATGCTAACGGTAATTATGAGGCTGTTGTTAGAATGCATGCAGATGAGTTGCTGGAAGTTGTGCTGAATATGGAGGATTTTGCGTTGAGTGACATTAGCACCAACTGAAGGCTCGTCGTACTCAGTTCAAATATGGGCATAGGTATTCCTGTTGGGTGTATGTACAGGTTGCTGCAGATGCTGCACGAGACACCGTTGGGGTGGCGTGCGATCCCCGATGTGTTGAACAGTTTGTGGGGACCTGCGCTTGAGATCCGGCAGCAGCAACAGCCGCAGCTGGGGCAGCAGCAGCGAGCTGCTCAGCAGCGCCAGCAGCAGCAGCACCGCCTGCAGGGAAGTTCGGGTGCAGAGGAGGACGAGGGGACGGGTGAGGGCAGTTCAGCTGCTGCACCTCCCCCTCTGCTAGTGCTAATGTTTTATATAGGGGGGGTTTCACATGCAGAGATCGCCGCCATCCGGCGGCTGAACGAAATGGAGTTGCAGGGGAATGTGAAGGCAGAACGAAGGCCGGAAAACACCAGAGTGCAGTACCTCATAATCACCACAGAGATCCTCAACACAAGACAGCTGTTTAGAAGCATGATAGAAGACGTCGATTAGTTGTATTCGACTGAAATCCACCCCACTATTACAACCAAGCCCAGCGTACACAAACACATCTATTGCAACAACGAACAGAATCGGACTCAGGAACCAGCCTCCAAAAGGTGTAGAAAAATGCCCCGAGAAAGAGGAAACAAGACAAAGAAACACACAGCAGCACTACCCAAGCGGCTATCCACATCCCAGACAACCAGCTGCAGCTGCTGCTGCAGCAACAGCTGAAGCACTAGCTGCAGCAACGGCAGCCGATGCAACAGCTGAAGCAACGCCCGAATCAACAACGGGGACACTAGCTCATATAGCTTAAATGCAGCAGTGCCTGCGCGTACTGGCGTTTGCTGCTCATAATGCTGCTGCAGTTGCTGCAGCAACTGCAGCAACAGTACCTGTTGCAGCAGGGCAGTTTGAGCCGGAAGGCTTCCTGCGGCGGCAGAAGGTCGAGCTGCTGCGTGTTCGATGTAATAAGTTTTAGGGTTTGTTTTATCGATGCGGCTTGCAATTAGGCTTTAGAGTTCGGGGTTCCTTCTCTCGTAAGCAGTGAAAAAGAGGGAAGCCAGAAGGAGCGGCCGTTTTCGTCCCGTCCACGTGTGTTTGTTCTGTGTGCTAGTTTGCTTTTCTCCTCCTCTCTGATGCTGCAGCTTCCGTTGCAACTACGGATCGCCGATCATACCTAAACTTTCTTCCTCTTCTGTTGTAGGGGGAGGGAGCATGCCGAACAATTAGTTGTTTCTTAAGTCTGCCGCTGCCGCAGGCAGGAGCTCCAAACCCCAGCAGTGCACGCCGCCTAGCCCGTACAATTAATAGCACAAGCATGCAGCTTAATCTTCCCAGTAACTCGCAAAAAGGAATCACTATCCCGATCAATATATGGAGTGTAGCCCTTAAGATGCTGTGAAAGAAGCAAACTGACTTTCGTCTGGTGCCCTGCATGCATGCATGCAGTCTACTGCTTGACGCTGAAGCACGTGTGCTGCACTGCCACGTGTATAAGTCCGTGTCCATATGAATGGTGTTTGAGTTATGTTACAATCCCACGCACATATGCTGGGTCCGCATGAAGTTCCGTTGCAACAGCATAGATTTAAAGACGGGAGGCAGCAACAATGGTTTTGTTGTCTGCTTCTTTTGCGGGTTTGGAGGCAGAGGGGGGTTCAAACAGAGGAGAGGAAGATGAGAGAAAAGCGGCACTGAACCCACCTAGTGATGGGCATCTTTGTCTCCCTGTTTCGTCTGTCAGTCTCTCTGCACGCGTTATTCGGTTGATAATACACCAAAAATATGAAAGTTTTAAGGCGTAGCATGCAGCTCCTCATGAAACACGGAGGGGGTGCTAGTAATCAAAGCGCACAAGCTGGAGGACCACCCTGAGGGTTTCCTTCTTGCTGCATGCAGCCAACTCCTCTTGTTGTTGATGATGCTGCACTACCGCTACTTCTTTTGCTACTGCTGCATTCATTCCGTGGTGCTGCTGCGGTGGGGGACGAAGTATCTGCCGCACGGGCGGGTGCGCAGAGAAAGGCGTGGAAGAAGGCAACAAACAAGAGAAAGTAACTGCATGCATGCAGGGATGCGTGCAGCGCACATTACCCAAACAAGGCTCTTTCTATAAGGTGAGGCGACAAACAAGTAAAAAAGAAAATAAAGCATCAAAAGTCCTTCGTGTGTGTGCCTACATCGGGTTTTTTCCAAATTCCAAAAGTAATTGCGGTGCGATACTCCTCAGGCAGTGCAGGGAACAACAGCCAACTGAACCAAGCGCATGCGGGAATTGCCCACATGCCAACACGAGACCTGCAAATCAGGAAAAAAAAATATATATATAGTGTAGATTAAACTAGCATGGTATAGCATGTCCAGTTGTGTCGAGTCAACAAAAAACTTGTGGTTAAAGCTCGAAGCATAAATTAATAATGCGTATACTTGTGTGTAAACAACAAAGGCAAAATGTGTTTCTTGAGATCGAAACAACAAAAGATAATGCATACATTGATGTCCAAGAAAGACCATTTTGTATTCGTCCAAGTGAAAACAACCACACCACGACACATCTACACGAAGTAATACACAAAACAAACACAAACAAGAAAACAAGCAGAAATACTAACGAAAAATCAGACAAGTAAAGCAAGAAAAAAGTGCATATCTATCCCTGCTTTATACTACGCACTGTGGTAGGCAATTTGAATGTTCTACAGTGCAACTGAACACCATACAGCTTCTCGGGTGCCAACTAAAACGAAAAACGGACGAAAACAACTTATACTGATGCCTCTCATTGTTGTTGCCTAGACATATATAGATGAGGGCTGGATATGTGTAGAGCATTTTTGTTGCATGAACTTGAATCAGCGCATGATGCCGTGCTCGAAACCTAGGACAAAACAGTGTGTTGATTTTCGGACCCAAAAATTTGTATTGTGCTGTTGTTGTTTAGACCTACACAAACATTTTCTTTTGATTTTTAAATTCGAATGAATATATTGTGTGGCATCGTTCAACTTCTGGGTGTACGAGTTGCTGCCGGCTTCTATCCTCTACCTCTGATTGGCCATCGATATAAGGCGAAACCGCCGCTAATTTGACTCAATATTTAAAGAATGAGCGCCTGAAAGGAATTTTGAATACACTAATAGACTTAATTAGCTTAAAATCAGGATATACTCACCCTACTTGATACCACGCATAGTGGCGACGCTGTTGAAATTGCGCTGTGGAAGCCCAGAGTTTCGCATAGACCGCGAGAGACATCGTAAGAAGTCTGAACCAAATTCAACAGTATTTCTGGAATTTTCGTTATTTATAAACAAAATATCCACAATGAAGCGAAATTACTTATGCAAGCATGCAGCTCGGGGATAGCTCAGCGCCAGCTACCGGGGCTGCGGCGGCTCAGTCAGTCAGAAGAAGTAGTTTTCTATATTTCTAATAGACACACGAGTTATTCTTTTGCTTTAAATGTTTGCACGCTTATGGTTTAAGTTCCTTTCCTAAGGACCTTTCACTATGTATATCTTGTGTAGTTGGACGTAGTTCTACTATTATCACTGAGATATTCGCCCATGCTTATTTGAAAGTTTGGGTTGAACTATTTGAACATTTGTGTCAGCTTTAATGGACTGCTCGCGTTGCTCTTCAGTGTATATGTGTGCAACATGTTCTGCCCCTCCCCTATATCGCGGTAGGCGAAATTAGCAGACCCATCCATCCTGCAAGATAGACACCGTTTAAAGCTGCAAAATGGAAATGTACATACGACTAAGACATGTCTCACTCCCCAAAGAGGAGATATGATAAAGTATGGAGAGCTTCTGTTTGTCAGCTGTCCTTGCGCGTTGGATGCAAACAATGGAAACAAGCCGCTGCTTGTACAAACTGACACTATGCACGCTGCTACATTGAGAGGCTGAGGTTCAATTGGTTGAAGTTGCTTAGACATGAATTCGAGTTAATTGTTCCTCCTTACTGCGTTTCTGCTGCAACACAACCAATTTAGTCGTGGGAAATTCTTGGTAGCGTTCGCTGTACTCGAGGCACATCGTATGTACAGTTTATCTATCCTACATAAAGTAAACTATGCGTACATTTTGCATATTCTGTGAAAGGATATATCCCTTACGTAGGTGCTCGCATCCAACCGGGGCTTGGTATGTTCGCATTTATTGCTGCGAAACTGGAGAAGACCCTTTCGAGTTGCAGCTAGAGCAAAACTTTTCAACAGTTTAATTTCGGCGCATGGCTTGATAAGATGTGTTGCTCACTACACCGGCATACCCATCTCCCCTCTTCATCAGGGCCTCTTGCCCCGGTTTCCTCGTTGAATTGAAAGAAAATGGAATGCATACATTGTGTTTTGTTTTCGTCTCCGCCCCTTTAGTCTGACACATTCTGTGCCGCCTCAGTACGACAAGGATACGAAAAGGAGTCAAATAATGGAGGGGCTTCAACGATAGCTTTCCTTTCTTTTGAAGAGGCTTGCATGCAGCTAGCTGCCCCTACACCAGCATCAACAGAAGGAAATGAGTACAAAAATAAACAAACGAAAATTAAGTAGGTAATAAATACAGAGAGAAGAAAAACAAAGGCAAACAAAGGTGGAGGTTTCCCTTCAGTTATTGTGTCTTGAGTGTCTACCCCTCACAGCCGCCGCATACAACTACCGCCTTGCAGCAGCGGCAGCCTCAACTCCTCCATGGTAGCTGAAGCTTCAGCTACCAACAGCTAGCTACGGGGGCAGCTAGCTGCTGGAACAGCGAGCTGTAGAGGCAGGTCGCCGCAGCAAATGTGATACCCTAGAAACCAAGTTCCTCTAGCCACTGCAAACGCACAGCAGCGAAGGCAACAACACCCGCAATAATAATACCCAAAGCAGCAGCAGCAAGAGCAGACGAATTAGCAGCACAGGCAAGAATACGTGATGCGAGGCTATTGAAGGTGGGACAGGGGAAAATCTTCTTGTTGTTGCTGCCACTGCTGCTGTTTGTGCTGCCGCTGCTGAAGTGTTAGCCGCTGTCGTATTTATTGTGTAAGCTGCAGCCGTTTGCGCTGTACAAGCAGATTTGGAGTGTATATGTAGGTACCTTCTTGACAATTGCTTTCTTGTTGCCTGAAATGCAAATACAACTATCACTTTCCCAGACGGGGCAATTGCAGAGAATGCGAAGTTCATTAACAAATACCTGCAAGCCAATACAGCAAAGTGTTGTTCTATAGCGAGAACCAATTAATTAATGGTCAATAAGTTAGTGCCATTTATAAGCAACTTCCAAGTTATCCCTCCTTACCTGTCTATCGCCTGTCACCTTCCTTACAACAGTTAGTAATTTATTCTTCTTTAAACCCCACACAAAATACACTGGCATGTTCCCGGATGCTGTAGCTCAACATACACACACCACATTCACACCTTTTGCTGCTGCTCCTGCTGCTGTTCTTACTGCTCGTCGTTGTGCTCCTGATGCTACGACTGCTGATAGTTCCGCTGCTGTGTCTGCTGCTCCTGGTTCTATTTCTCAAACTGCTGCTGAATTTCCTTCTTTCTGCTGCCTCTGCTGCTGCTGCTAGTGGCGCCCTTGTTGCCGCTCGCGTTGCTGATACTGCTACAATTCCTAAGGCGAAACTGCTGGTGCCGCTGCTGGTGCCGTTGCAAACCTGTGCGGTGTACTTTAAACGGAATCTTCCTGCTTAAGTTCCCCTGCCGAATTTGCGCCCCCCAAAAAATCTCATTTCCAAACAAACCGCCCAGCTTGCTGCTGCTGCTATTGGTGCTGCTGTTGCTGTTGCTGTTGCTGTTGCTGCCGCTGTCATTGATGCTTGTATAGCTGCTTATGCTACTGCTGCTGTTGCTGTCATTGCTGCTGCTACTGTGGACCCTGTGCAAGCTGCTGATACCGCTGGTGTTGCTGCTTTCGCTGCCGTTCCTTATCCTTTCGTCAGTAATGCCTATACTATCGCTACTACTGCATCTGGCATAGGTGCTGCAGTTGTTTCTGTCAATTGTGGCACAGGATCGGCTGCTGCTGCTGTGCCTGCTGCTACAGAGGGAGTCGAAAGGCGCAAAACTTCTGCTGCTGCACATTGAGACAGTTGATGGGAGGTAGCGAGCAACAAAACAAGCAGCAGCAGAAACAGAAGAAACACCATCCAGTCCGTTTTGGAAGGCAATGGGCTTGTACGTACAGTCGAAAAATGACACCATGCTGTGTCTTTTGCTTCTGGTGGTGCTGCTGCTCCGGTTGCTGTTGCTGCTCTGGCTGTTGCTGTTGCGCCTGCTCCGGGTTGCCTGACGAGCAGCTCCTAAAGCTCTGGGATGCTCTTCAGCTGCGACGGAAGAAGCAGGAGCTGCTGCTGCTGCAGCAAAAGGGGAAACGCACGCGTACTGCTGCTGCTGTTGTCGCCCGCTGCATACGCAGCAGCAGTAACAGCAGCACAAGGCCTCACGACTGCCCAGGAATGAGAACCTGGCAGGCGCCTGTAAAGCCAGATAGCGGAGAGCCATTGACGTGTACATAAACCCCACAAAGATGATCTTACAGTAGGAAGAATTTACTCCAGCTCGTCTGCCACGCCTGCAAATACCGCAGCTGGTGCCCGCTTCCGACGCCTCCGTTCCCCCGATCTTCTAGCCTCGAACCAATACTTGCTGCTGCTGCAACAGCAGCAACAGCAGCACCAGCTGCTGCTGCTGCCTCGAGACAACCAGCCGCTTGTTTCCGCAACTTCGGGTGGAGACTGAAGTGCACAGCAGCTGGAAAAGAAGGAAGAAGAAGCCCCAAAGGGCTGTGCAGCAAAGCAAAAAAGCTATTAATTAAATTTGTTTAACGCATACTAGCGAGATACCAGCACACTGTCTATCCAATAGCAGCAACAGCAACGGCAGAAGCGGCTTCTGTTGTTGCATGCGAGATCGTGTTGGGTATCTACAGAATACTGCGCAGCCGCAGCAACAGCAACAACAACAGCAGAATGGTATTATTTTTGTGCGTACTTGTACTATTTCGTTCTTTTGAATGTGCTGAATTTAGTCATTGCGTTGTTTAACTGCTATTGCCGTCAGTTTCTCTGAGTCGTGCAGCAGGAACAGCAGTAGCAACGACTGCAGCGGCAACACCAGCCACAAGCAGCGGCAGCACGAGAAGCAGCAGCAGCTCTCTCACTGAAGTATCCACAGAGTTTCTTGTGCTATCCTCCTTCCGTTAACCACCCCACGCCCGGCAGCGGCGTCAGCAGCAGCAGCAGCAGCGGCAACGGCGACACCTAGAGCAGTGGCAGCAGCAGCATGTGCCCACAGACCTTTGGAGTTTTCTCGAGTACTTGTGGAGACTGTGCCAGCAGCAGCATCTCCAGCTGACGCTGAGGGCTGTATTTCGGGTTCTAGGAGTAGCATCGCGGCAGCCAGAGCGAGTACATAGGGCTGCAGGATGCAGTCCTCACGCCGCTGCTTTCTAGCGGCGGGCTGTTGGCTAATGGCTTGTCTGGTTGCGCCTGGCGCTCTGAGAGTTGCTGCTGCTGCTGTTGCTGCTGCTGCTGCCGCCCCAGTTAACTCTCTTTTGGCTGAACGCCCCTTGGGTGTAGGCGGGCTAGCGGCTAACACACACAGCAACAACAACAGCAGCAACAGCAGCGGCAGCGTTCCGCGGGCAACGACAAACGCAGCAGCGTCGGCTGCTGCAGCTGCTGCTGCTCTTGCTGCTGTTGCAACGGGATCTCTGTCTTTAAGACCGGACGAATCCTTGTCTTCAGCCGCGATACGAGTAAATATGATGACGAGGAAGCGGGAGAGTCTTTTGAAAGCTTTAGGTGTTGCTGCAGCACCAGCAGCAGCAGCAGCATCTGCAGCGGCAGCAGCAGCAGCCGGGGGGAACGTCGGCGGGAACAGCAACCGTTTTGCTGCTGCAGAGAGTACCTGGACACGGAAATTGGCGACTGCTCATCTGCAACAGCAGCAGCACCACCACCAGTGTCTGCAGCAGCCGCAGCTGGTACAACAGCAGCACGAGCAGCAACTGCAGCAGCAGTCAACAGAGCAGCGTGATGCCGATCAGCAGCGGCTTTCGGGGGCCTCTGGCTTGCTGCCACGCCGTCTAACAGGCAGCCTATTCGGGTGTATGTACAGGCGGGGGCCATTTGGAGCTGCTGCTGCTGCTGCTGCAACAAAACACCGGAAGCATGCGCTACCGCTGGGATCGCTGTGGACACGGCGACTGCAGAAGCAAAACCTGCAGATGAAGAGAATTGTAAGTAACACTTGCAGCAGCAGCAGCATTTGCAGCAAATTATAATTAATAATAGCAACAATAATAGGAGATTGTGTTGGTAAATAACATGTAAATAATAGTTAATGTCTATACCAGTAGTAGATTATATGTATGGCTACACAAGTGTTAAGTACGTTTATATTTATATATTTATCCATATATAATATTAATGCATTCATAGTAAGTATATTTTTATGCGAACGTAAATATATAACTTTATAAATATGTGAACAGATTTACATATGAAATATATAATGAATAACATGTAGGATTGCTGCTTCAGCAGCAATAGCAGGTGAAGGAGAAGCAGCAGAAGCAGCAGCAGCAGTATCGGAGAACAACTGAATAGAAAAAAGGCACTATGCATGGCCTCCTCTTCGACTTGCGCCTGTGCAGCAACTGCTTATTGCTGCAAGTGGTGCTGCTGCTGCAATTGCTGCTCCTGCTGTCTCTACTTGTGTTTGAACTCTTGTTGTTGTTTGTCCCGGCAGTTTTGCTTCGAGGTATGCTCTGCTGCCGCTGCGGCGTTTACATGTTGCTGCAGTACTTGCTGTATTGCTGTTGCTGCTGCAGGATGCAGGAGGGGGAGGCGATTGCTTGTTTTTGTCAGTTGCTTTAGCTTTACAAGGAGAAAGAAGGGCAATTACTTCGCAAGGCCTTCGCGACTTAGCTGCAATGAAGGTGGCAGGCTTGGACTCGACAGGCCCGCATGCAAGTGAGAGAGAGCGGAAGACTGCTTATTTAAATAGGAGTTGTCTCGTTTAAGGTTCTTCTTCCCTCTGTCTCCTCTTTTTATGATGTTGTTGCTGCTGTTATTGTTGCCATTGCTGTTATTGAAGTGCTCGAACACCATATTTGGCATTGGACAATAGTTTTATTGTGTCTGTTTTTTTTAATTTGTTTGCTTAAAGAATTTGGCGAAGGAGGAGAAGCAGCATTTCTTCAAAGATTGGGTCTGTTGGCTGTATTAGAAGAGACGGGAGATTGGGGGGAGCTTTGGTCTCCTTCGGCTGTTCTTAATTCTAAGCAGCTTTATGTCAATAGAGACGGTAATTCTCTTTCCCTGTGTATTTAGTCTGTTTTATGCGTTGTTCTTCTCCTCGTTTGCCTGGGCTGATGCTCATGTTGTCTTTCCTTCTAATCGCTTTATTGGGGTCTTAACAAATGTTCTGTTCTCTCCCTCCACCTCTTTATGCCTATATTGAACTTTTCCTTCCTGTCTTTCCCCTTTTTCTTTGCTATTTTATTCTCACTTCTATTTCTCGCCCATCTCTCCTAGCCTCCATCGTCTTGTCTCTTCTTCACTCTATTTGTTTTTCTCCGTGTCGTACCCTAATTAATTACCATATCTTCATATTAGCCGAATAATTAGCTCGTCATTTAAATGTCACATCTTCGCGCTGTTTCATTCTGTCGTTTTTCCTTCCCTTCTTTGTTTCTTTGCTTCTTTTGTTCGTTTCTTTCTATTGGCTTCTAACGTCGTGACCTGAATAATGAATTGCCTTGTCAAGACTACCTTCTCCTTGTGCATTCGTTTATTTATAGATTATTAATTACTATTGTCATTTATTTACTGCTTCTTTACAGGTGTATGCTTTGATGTAAGAACGCCTCTCGGCAAAGCTAAGGCGGTGTTCCACGAGATGAGGCAGCCTGGAAACAACCACTGGGGAACAGGTAATTAAATTGTGTTTTCTTTTTTCTTCGCATTATATATATATATA